CTAAGTCGTGCAACAATATCTGGTCATGTGACCTCTTTGTTCCATACTGTATATGTATATATATCTGTGTCAGTGTACATTACTTGTACCTGATGATGACAAAACCTTGTCGAAATGTTGCACATTTGCTGTTATGTTAAACTTATACTAAAGTTTTTCTTCGTTACCCATTCAAGCCATCTCCAAGCATTATTAACAGCTAGAATCCCACAATGAAGATGGTGGAGGAGCTGTTGCTTACCAGTTACAAAGATGAACAGTTACAAAGCCCATAGGATGTGACATTCATGAGACGGGGGGTTGCCTATTGCAGAAACATATGGTGGGAGACCACATCCTTCTCAAGCAGGGAATATACTTCACCCAAGAGTTTTTTTTTTTTTGTACTGAGATAGTAGAGCAAAGAATATCAGGAAAACCAGTGCTGGTGGTAATGTGATGCTAAGATGGATAGAATGTATAATGTGGCTAGGGCTTCTGCATCTCAAGGACATATCCACTGGGAACTGCTTGGGAGATATTGTAAGGGGGTGTCCTGTACTACATTTCCAGGTAGCTCCTCAGCCATACATCTCAAATCAGAGGCAGGCCCAACCAGTCTCTTACTGGGGTGGGACATCACTTCCAGATAATATGCACTCAAGAATGCTTAGAGAACTGCAAAAGAAACATTGCACATACTTCTGGCTTTGATCTTTGACAATTCCATAATAACAGGACTTATCATAAGATCACGAGAAAATTGCATACTTACACCTTTATTTTAAAATGGGAATAGAAAATTACAAACCGAATCCATACACATATTAATTTCTGAAAATATAAAGTGTTTTCTCAAGAAACATTTGATAACCATCTGAACATTATAAAGATTTCGCAGGTGAAATAAAAAATTTTTCTCATGCATAAAAGTATTTTTAATCTTAAAATGAATATTACTTTGTATGATAGACAGGCAACATGCAAAAAGAAAAAAAAGGGATGAGAAAAACATTGCTTTATTAACCTTAAGACTTAATAAAATAAAATTGATATTTTGCATATGAAAGCATTGTAATGTTTACTGATAATCTG